TCTGGCCTCTACCCGTTGACTTTTCAGGCATGATTGGATCTACGGCTGTGCGAAGCCACCCTGTATAGCTCGCAGGGTCACTGAGGCGCGCAAGCCATCACACCACGTCAAGGTGCAGTCTCGTCGTGATGTTTTATCGTCCAGAAGGCGTCGACTATCGATGTTTACGTAGTTTGGTGTGAGTTGCATAGTACGGACGAGTAAGCAAAACTGAGGTAAGCCGACGAGTATTTGGTAATGATTCGGTGGAAACTTCGTCAGCACATCGACCTCAGGTCAGTAGTGCTCGTCGGCTTGGAACGCGTCTTGTGCATGGCCAACTGCCGTCTGTCAGTACCATGATTTATTCGGAGTCCAGAAGGCTATAAATATTAAGTTGAAGACCTCGAAGGATAGGACCACTAAACGTCATCAGTCGTGTTCTTGTTGTCAGTTTTAGTTTGTACACTATCGTGCGCCGGTTTTAGTTGCTGTCGTTTGGCTACCCATTTGGAGAAAGACAAGAAAGGTTGAAAGTAGGATCGAAGAGAAAATTTCGGATTTCATTGCATCAATTTTGCAGATAAATCGACAAGATGCACGAACGCCGCTGTTTACGACACCCAATCATATCACTCAGTGTCTCTAACCATCGGGTATGATCATCCCGAGGTCTCCATTCAGGGAGCCTAACGGGACCTATGTGACCCAGTTTCCTGGTTAGGGTTTTCATACCGTCATGCTAGGTATGAGATTGACCACCCTTGACTTTCTTCCACCGACTACCTGCCTCGGCGAACATCGCTCGCCGTGGCAATCTATCTTGTTATCACTTCTTATCAGGTCAGAATGCTTGGAACGGTATTTATGCACAGACTGCCTTGTTTGTGTTTGTTGATCATAGTGGTCCACTTTCTTTGGCTCCCTGCAATTAGGCCCAATCTGTGTTCACTGTGTATATTCTCCTTTACTCGGTGTACGTTATGAGCTCGGTAGCCACCAGCAAATTTTTCTTCCTTCGCTGTATTTCGCTGTACGCTGATGATCATAACCTGTTTTAATGCAGCCGATATGCTATTTAAGGTACCGTTTCATGTGTGTATCAACTGATGTAAAATCATTTATTTTTGCTTGCACTATACTATCGAAAACAATAGATGAACATTTGCTAACCTTTGAAATTTTTGTTTCAGTGTCCGTCTTAGCATGGATGTATATGTCTCTGTTCCCGACGCGGATGAGGATCTTAGTCTTTTACTGGAACGGCTGAAAAAACTGTACAAGGTGGCCGTACAAATAACTACTAACCATATTCGAATAACTGGATCACCTGAGGAAATATTTCTGGCTCAGGTGAGTCTACGCATACAAACACGTTTTCATAATTTTATTTTTCTCGAATCTAGAATTGTGCTCTTCGTTTCATCGGACCTGAATCAATGTTGGCGATTCATGTTGATCTGGAATTTCTTTCGTTATTCTTCAGCCCCAGTCTTATTCAACACTTTGAAGATATGTATCAGGTGTTCTTTCTCGTCAAACGACCACAAGGGCTGTTGATCAAAGGTTCGGATAGAGCCACTAAGCATGTGCATAAAATCATTAAGGATTTGGAGAATAATTGTCTGACGTGTAAGAGTGCAATGGATCAGTTCAAATTAAACAACCTGAGGCTCCTATGTTACAAGTTTCGTGTACAGTTCAGTGAACTCCCGGATAAGGATTCACTCCGAGTTGCGCTGCTGGGTTACTTCTGCTCCCTATTGGACCCCGGTTCTAACAAACTCCCTCAAATGGTCGCCAGCTCTCAACCTCCTTTTGTAGAAGCATATCGAAAGGATCCTGGTAAAGACTGCGGTAAGTAATGCCTTTATAATGATACCAATGCAATGATATATAAACCCCCTAACCGTAATAGTTCAAGTGGCTCTCAGGAGAGGAATCCGCATAAGATTATTGGGGGGGGGGAGGGGAGTGTTTTCCCTTTTATCGATCATAGATTTGATAGTTCAATCGAGGGCTAAGTTAACTTATGTGTTAGAAAACCTGTATTTTGAATGGAGACTATGTATCTGCTTAGAGCAGAAGTTTGTAACTTTAATAGGGAGAGGGACCGGTGGAACCGCACCCAAAGTATTCTGCCCACCGTTAAACAGAGTTGAGGAATCTTATTTAATCTACCCTGCTGGTAGAAAAGAACTCCACTCCATCGGGATAAATCCCGTACAACTCTATCTACGGACCTGGAAACCCACTCACAACTGCGGTGTAATCAGATGCTCCGTTAGCACTCAGTCAACATAACGAGGTATTTGAGACAGCGGAAAATTTTTAGCATTTAGTATAATTACGTTTGTTGGCAGTTTCAGTACCCAATCTCCGACAAGGCTTAATGTTTAAACTTGAGAAATTATTCATCAACAGCTTGCAAACACTCCCTAGTTCCATCAGATCTAGTGTCCTTGATGTTTTTGATGCTTGTCTCTTGAGGTGATCTCAGTAGTGTTCAGTGGGTTTACTATCTGGTTATCTAGAAAATACCGGTATGAAATAAACGCATCGTTACCGTTTGTATAACCGGACGCCTTCACACTGGTGTGCTGCGATCTTTTGCTCACTCGTTGCGTGATCCCATCTTGAAAATGGGTACAATCAATGATTCGCCTCAGTAACTCGAAAGAGTTCGACTAAGTTTGGCATGACCAGATTCTGAAAATCCTTCACAACTTCGGATTCTCTTCTTGATTTTTCACTTGTACGGGAAGCTTTGTTTGTGATCATTCAATATCGCTTCGTGGAAGAGATCATTTCGAGCGCAATCCGATTCCCCCGTTTTCACAACACTTCCCCGGGTTCCTCTATCTTCATCACTCACAATTGCTTGTCCGTTCCACTGAGATCTGATATGAGCACTGCTCGAGATTCTAACACTCGAACCGTATGCGCTTCCAATCGACATTTCTATTTCTTTCACACTTGATTCCACATCTTGAGCCGTTCTGATTACGATGAGATTTCTTAAGAGGTGTGCTATACCGCTATATCACTTGTCCATTTCTGTAGATAAATACAGTTATCTACCACATACGTAACTGCACTGTGTCCTTCTCGCTCAACCATGTAAAACGGCGTCATTCTTGAGTGTCAGAAAGATCTTCAAAACCCTATTCTCTCGTTAGCCAGGCCACATAAGCAAATTGTCTATGACGACCCCTACTGCCTTATGCACATCTTCAATGAGGACTCGGCCGAATCGATTCACCATTTCCCCTCACTGCACAACTAGACCTATCCCACACGAAGTGAGGACAGAACAGCCAGCAACATCTTGTTTGCACTTATTGGTTAGAAAACAGCAAATTAGATGAAATTTTGTGCCGTAGAAGCATAAAACAGGTAAAAATGAAAAAAACGGATTCGTTTTCTGATTGGTGACGAACGCCGCTGTCAGTTAGTTGGCCCTACCGCGAGGGAAAATTGTGCCCGGAGGATCTAGCCATTGAAACCGAACCCAGTTGTCTAGTTAGGATTGCTTTTTAGATCAGGTCTATCGTATTATCGAACTTCATGCGACAATTCATCAAGTCGCAAGATTGCTAAGGTTTGCCGAAGCGATTGCGATTAATCGATGGAAACCTCTGTGTCAGCATAAAGAACTTTATGTTAGTCTCTCCCTACCCTGGCGATATTGGTGATACCCCTCCCTCTTTTATGTTTTGTCTGTTTTTTATGTATTTTACTTTACTTTGTTGCCATGCTAAAGCCCTATATATAAACACTGTATTTTCTGCAGTATACACCATGTTGAGATGCAGCGAAATGGTTCTGGACATAAATCGTGCAGTACATTGCAATATGGTCTTTTCTTTTGAAATTCATCCTATCCTTGAAACCTCCGGAAAACCAAATCTCTTTTTATGTGTGAAAGGGAGAGGGTGTCATTGGGCATTCTTTTACCCTCTGGAAACAATATTGATATTGGTGTATTTCCAATTTGCGTTTTTTAATACATTTATTTATGAGTTACAGTCAATTACTCTCTATCCTCAGCATACTGAAAGGAGAGCTCCATATGGTATATTTACACAGTGACATCATCGTTAAGCACCACAATGTCGTTAACCTGTACTTAGCAAATTTAGTCAGTTGAAAGTGAACAGTTTCAGTTTCTACAACCATTTACAGTGCACTATCGTGCACCGGTTTTAGCTGCTGCCGTTTGGCTACCCATTTGGCTGCCCATAAGGAGAAAGACAAGAAAGGTTGAAAGTAGGATCGAAGAGAAAATTTCGGATTTCATTGCATCAATTTTGCAGATAAATCGACAAGATGCACGAACGCCGCTGTTTACGACACCCAATCATATCACTCAGTGTCTCTAACCATCGGGTATGATCATCCCGAGGTCTCCATTCAGGGAGCCTAACGGGACCTATGTGACCCAGTTTCCTGGTTAGGGTTTTCATACCGTCATGCTAGGTATGAGATTGACCACCCTTGACTTTCTTCCACCGACTACCTGCCTCGGCGAACATCGCTCGCCGTAGCAACCTATTTGGTGACATGCGTAACACATGCACCAGCCAATGTAATCTATGAAAGTTGACCACTTGCTCCAGTGGGTGACT